AATAACAAGTAAGGCTCGTTTCACAAGTTTGTTGTAGTAAACAATCATAGTAAGCCTTGTTCGAGCCCAATTTACAGTTTTCTTTTTAACGGTTGCCTCTGCCCTTAAAAAAAGCCCTTAAACTGGCCAAAAAAAGTTTTCCAACTTTCGAACAATGCCTTCTATCAAGGCTAGACAGCATTTTGGTTCTCCACATTCGTTCTCCATATTGCCTTTTGCTTGATGTAGCGAACTTACCCAGCGCTTTGGCTTAACACACTGTAAAATAAGGAAGCCTTTGGTGAATTTTAGCTAATTTGTGAGTTATTTATCATAGAAGGTAACCTTATTTGACAGACCTGCAAATGTAAACAGTCGTTGTAAGGTGGTCGTAAACCTTCAACACTTACTGGGGAAGGATTTAGTGAAGCGAGCTTACCCACCACCTGCGCGTAACAAAGCAAGTTACCATTATTTTGCATGGTTAGTTATTTGTCATACAACTTCATAGGTAGATTAAACCTTCTAACTCTCGCGCACGCGTTGTATTGATAGGAAAAATTTTTAAGGGTTAACTATTTTACGACTAACGGTTAGGATTTGTCAAATGGCCGTTGACCTCTAATAACTAACACTATGGAGACCCTCAGATTAGGAAGATGTACACCTAAGAAACACGTTCTTCAACTGCGATTCACCAGCTGCTATTGATTTGAGCTGCTTTGAAACGGTGTTCTAATGTACACAAATAAATACTGACTGTCTATCAAAACATTCAATAGACTTAGAGCATATTCCTTCGCTTTACAGTTGACTTGACATAACTTTGACATCTATGAAAAAAAATTAAAATACCTTTACTGAGCATAAAGAGAGTAGTTTGTTCATACCTTCTGGGATCAAGAAATTAAGGGGATTTGTTTCTAACTTTCTGAAAAGTGAGAGCAAAGCGAATTGACGGGAACTGTTTCAATTGTTTCCAAATTGCAAAGGAAGTTCAAACAAAACCAGCGTTCTACGGTTCAAAGACCAGAGAAAGGTGTCATACCACTGAATAACTTGCGGTATTTACTCTTACGTCGCAATAGTAATGAACTGAGCTTTCCGGTCTAAGTAACCTCTCTTGACTTTGAACAGATTACCAAAAGCGAACAGAAGAGCGACAGAGAACAGAGAAGCGACAGTAAGGTTGTAGCATTTACAATAATTGTTGTAGTTATAACTAAGGTTTTTTTTCTTTAAATTGTGATTTAACAGCAAAGAAACCCTCACGCGGCCGAAGGATGACTGAGAAATTCTTCAAATTGAACTTGGATAAATTTCCTATACTATCCAAACAATGCGGCTTTGCTTCAATGAGTAACGCTTTTGAAAGAAAAACGATAATATTTTACTTATACTTCCATCTCGCTTACTAGTACTGCCACGTTTAACGGACTTAAGGATCACAATTGGTACCAAATGTGTTTCATATGGAAAAAGACGGGCTACGTGAAATTCTACGTAGATGGAAAATTGATACGCTGACGTGACGATTGTGGGACAGGTCTCGTGGTGAGGGGCAGATTTCCGGCTTTAGGGAGCATGGAAAATAGGAAAACCAGTAATTGGGTTTTTATGACTGGTTTTGTTCTGTGGGACATAATTCTTACAGACGAAGAGATTCTCAAGAGTACTAAGACTTGCGATGGAACGAACGGAAACCCCGTAGTGAAATGGGAAGATTTCTACCCGTTGGCTGAGTCAAATGCCGCGTATTTTGTGTTGAAACCATCAACATGCCAGGCTCTTAAGTAACTCTTGCGACATCATTAATATTAGCGCAAATGTAATCACCATAAAAAGCCAATGTGCGAGATACCAGACCTTGTAAAAACAATTAAAGCTATTAACCCTTGGAGCTTTGGTGTTCAAATTTTCCTTCTTTTTCTATTTCATGGATTTTTTTTCCTTTATTTATCCGTTTCTGTATTTTGTTTATGTATGTGCGCGTTAATCTACTTTCGGCAGTCACGTTTTTTGCTGATAGTCAGCAAGTTGATGCCCTCTTACTGGGAAACAAGGTTAAATGAGCTACCGGCAGAAATTTTTTAAAAGGAGTAGTCATTGCGCAAGGTAGATGCGAAGGAAGGCAGAGAAAACCTCAAGGAGGATACTTAGGAAGGACTCCAGTTGCTTGATCAAAAATATTTGCTGACACGTAAAGGATGGCTGATTAAAAGATGGAAAATCAGCGGAAGCCCACTAGAAAATGGGGGGGCACACCAACCTTGATAACTCGCATGCTTGGCAAGTGCGATCTCCAGCTCTCGTGGATTATTTAAAAGTCCGTTTTGCTGTGCAGTTCGCCGGTAAGCCTCGCAAGGCATCTATTTACGTTTCCTATGAAAGTCAATTGAGCTAATTAAGCATCTCAACTTAGAATGAATCAGACAAAGCAAATGTATGAATGATGTTAATCGCATTGCTGACATAATGACGCTTAAAAATTTTTTTCGAAACAGACAAAAAAGCGGCGTTGGGTGACACGGAGAAACAGATTCCATCGTGCTTTTAAAATTAACTGACCGCATATATCCATTTGTTTTGAAAATGAAATACCAAATAAATTGGCGCTTTTCAGAGCGTATAAATTTCATCAAATTGTAGATTCAGTAGAACTCAGTTCAATGAAGTGCAAAGCAAGGCGACGTGCCATATTGCAAAGCATCCAGAAGTAAGCCCAGTATGTACGTGTTCGTTCCTTGGATTTGCTCAGACGAAATATATTTTTCTAACCTCCCAATAAGGACCATTTTGTTCCATTTGATGCATGAATGTAATCAAAGTGAAAAATAGTAAGAAATAAAGACAATTTGAGATTGAGGGCTGAGAACGAATTGTTTTAGCCAGACGTACATGTCCGACCGTTTAGTCCTCAAACATCTTTGTTCCTAATACGTCCTTATAGTTTAAGCAACGCATGTACTCCCTTCTAAAGCTCATATCCTGATGCAATCCGTCGTTACGAAAATAAGTGGAAACAATAAACAGTACTATCAAGCTCGCATCCTATTTGACACAGGATCACAAAGAACCTTTATCACTCAGGAGATGAAACACAAACTTACAATAGGAACAATAGGAAGCGAACTTTTAGATGTGACGACATTCGGTACACTTCAAGGCAGCACTTCAACGCATCCTATTTGACACAGGATCACAAAGAACCTTTATCACTCAGGAGATGAAACACAAACCTTAAACTAGGAACAATGGGAAGCGAACTTTTAGATGTGAAGACATTCGGTACACTTCAAGGCAGGAGAAAAACATACGACCTTGTGGCACTGACATTGTCAACAGAAGTAGAAAATATCAAAATAACAGCCCTAGTAACTCCAGTTATTTGTCCACCACTATCGGCTAAGGTGAAAAATTTACAGATACCGCCGGAATTACAAGGACTTAAACTTGCTGATCCTTCACATTCTCTTAAAATTCAGAACACACAAAAAGGCCTTCTCTGCAGCTATAGAAAAGGCCTTCTAACAGATCGAACTGAACTCCCTAGACAGAGACGCAACGAGATTCCTGTGGCTTAAAGATATAAATCAACCAGTTGACACTAAAAGCAACTTGGAGGATTACAGATTTTGCCGAGTTCTGTTTGGAGCGACACCCTCGCCCTTTCTGCTGAACGCAACAATACAATATCACCTAAGTCAAAAGGACAACTGGGTAGCACGGGACCTCATGGAGAACATGTATATGGATAACGTGATAACCGGAACTGATTGCGATAATAAGTCCTTAGAATATTACTCATTACCGCAAAGGTACCTTCAAGAAGCAGGTATGAATCTACGCCAATGGACTTCTAACTCAGAAGCTCTAAATCGCATAGCACAAGAAGATCATATACAAGCAGATCCAACAACAAAAATCTTGGGACTCACCTGGAATTCAACAAGTGACACGCTCTCACTTTCAATCGAGAAAATGATCAGAGAAAGAGATGCTATCACAAAAACAACAAAACGAACAACGCCAAGCTTCGCATCAAAATTGTTTGACCCGCTCGGCTTCGTGGAACCTATTACAGTAAAGGCAAAGATTATGATTCAAGACCTGGGGAAACAAACCTTAAGTTGGGATGAAAGTCTTCCAGACGAACAAAAAGAACAGTGGCTAAAATGGACTGATGATATCCACAATTTAACCTCAATTGAAGTACCCAGACAGTACTTATTCGCAAACGTTACAAAACACAATTGCACATATTTTGTGACAGCAGCCAACAGGCTTACGGAGCGGTCGCTTACTTAAGAGGATTGTCAGCTGACGACGGAATACACACTGCATTCCTTATGGCTAAAACCAGAGTCGCACCCTTGAAAACGACAACACTACCACGACTAGAACTATTAGCAGCACTCTTGGGAGCAAAACTATTCCAATTCCTAAACAAAACCTTAGAGCTTGTAAACAGCAGTGAAGTTATATACTGGAGTGATTCACAAATTGTTTTATCTTGGTTATCTTCCAACAAACAACCACAACAATTCGTTCGAACTCGAGTTCACAAGATACAAGAAATCACATCATCCCAAACTTGGAGGTTTTGCCCAACGTCTATGAACCCAGCTGACTTGATAACCCGTGGAGTAAGCACTATTATATTCAACGATAAGAAAAAACTATGGTTTGAGGGACCTCCAGGGCTTAGCGAACCAGAGGAACAATGGCCTCCATATCCCCAAAATTTATTTCATGAAGCACTTCAAAGCTTACAAATGGAAATTGTCACAAACGTCGCAGATGATCCAAATATACTAAACATCATTGACATAACAAGATACAGCACCCTAGTCCATCTACTCAGAGTCACTGCCCGCGTTATCAACTTCGCAAGAAAATGGAGAAAAAGAAAAGTATACAGTGAAACTTTTACAGCGAAAGATATCGTGGAAGGCAGGAATGTCTTGCTGAAAGCTACTCAACATAAAATCTACAGACAAGAAATTTCATACCTGAAGAACAAAGACAAATCCAGACAACCTGCCATCATACGACAATTCGATCTTTATCTTGACGATGAAGATATCATACGCTGTCGTGGTAGACTACAGTATACAGATCTGCCTCACGACACAAAATTTCCTATCCTCATACCAAAGGACAACTACTTAACTACATTCATCGTCCATTCTATGCATAAGCAGGTCATGCATGGTGGAGTACGAGAAACATTTACTCACATCAGACAAACATATTGGATACCTCAAGGTCGACAACTCGTAAAAAGAATCATATCAAAGTGCGTAACATGCAGAAAAGTCGAAGGACCACCCTTTCGCTCTGTACCCACACCACCGTTACCACAATCAAGAGTCCAACAATCCCTAGTATTTCAATTTACAGGGATCGATTACGCAGGACCTCTATATGTTCGCGACCAGACAAATCAAACCTCATCTAAAATGTACATATGTCTTTTCACATGTGCGGTAGTAAGAGCCATACACCTTGAATTAGTAGAAGATCAGACCACCGATGCTTTCCATAGAACATTCAGACGATTCATAAGCCGTCGAGGAGTTCCGGAGTGTATCATTTCAGACAATGCAAAAACCTTCAAAGCCGGAGCTCAAGAACTTCAAACAATCAAAACTCAAATTCTTGGAACAGGTTCATCCCAACAGTTCCTCGCTCATCACAACATAACTTGGAAATTCATCACTGAAAGAGCTCCGTGGTGGGGAGGATTTTACAAGCGGCTTATTGGTCTAATGAAAATATGTTTAAAGAAAACTCTGGGGAAAGCCTGCCTAAACATGACTGAACTAAACACAATACTTACTGAAGTAGAAGCAGTGCTAAACAGCCGACCCTTAACATACCCTTACACGGACATCAATGATGCCTCTCCTCTGACGCCATCACATTTCTTATGTGGATACCGTCTCCTAACATTACCAGACACGAATGCTAAAGAAAACGAAGCAGATCCAGACTATATTCCATCTGAGATGTCAACAAAAGCACTGATAAAAAGAGCTCAGTATCAGAAAACACTAATAAACGCCTTCTGGACACGATGGAAAACTGAATATCTGACAAGTCTGCGAGAACATCACACTTGTCGAAAGAGAATATTAGACAAAAAGGCAGTTGCTATTGGAGATGTTGTTCTCATACATGATAACACACCACGAAACCAATGGAAAATAGGTGTGGTAACTAGCCTACACACGGGGAAAGATGGACTCGCAAGATCTGTATCTCTAAGAGTACCTTCTGGAAAGGAACTATCACGACCTATAGAGAAACTTTATCCGTTAGAGATGTCAGACATACCGACTAACAAAAACATAGAAAAAGCTCCTGAAAATGATATACAACGGTCCTCCTTTATGAATTGCCGCTCAGAAGGCAGCACAGAGAATCGAGGAACAAATAGAATAACCACTGATATTGAAGGGAACAATATAAGACATTTTTTTTTACTCTTTACACATAACTGTATACTATATTTTCAGCTTATGTTGTCGGCCCGGGAGAGTGTCATAAATTATGAAATTTAACTACGTCACAATGCGCGCGACATGTAATTAAAACAACAACAATAAAGAAAGAAGACGTTACGTTTACTCGTCTTATTTTGTCGTTACAACATTAACAGTTGTACCATAAACATTTAAACTGCATTCAGGTCACAAAAGTTCCTTATGCGGTGTAAAGGTCTACTTTTTAGTCCTAAGTCACCAAATTTCTGCAGCATATGGGTATTTAGAAGCATAGTACACGCCATACAATTCACTCTTTTTCCACCTTAAATTGTGAGTTGGCTATTGCGTGTGGAAAGAGATTTGTTGGTTTCCGCATACACTTTTCATATCGGGTTGAAGTTTCCAATTTGATGAAAACGGCTGTATTGTTTAATATGTTATCTACTGCGCTAGCTAATTAAAGCCACAATTTTCAATTAATTATTACTAATCGCATAACGTGATGACGTCATAAACGGAATTCACTGTATTACGACTTGCTAGTCAGAAGAACTGCGAGACACCACTGGATTTTGAACGCGACTACTCCAAGCGATGATTCAATAAAGGATCTGCTTAAAATCGTGGACTGAGTTAATCTTCGACTGGCAAAATAACGCCTTTTTGCAGACAGTGCAATTCGAAACTTAATTTCGTTCTTCTTATTTAGTCTAATTCATTACATTTATGCCACAGGTAGGTATACTATTGTAGTTAATGATTCTGAAATTTTGCAGCTTTCAGTTAAATTTTTATATTAAAAAATAGCTTTCATGTAGGGGTTGGTACATGAAGAATGCAAAGTTACGGAAGTGCCTGTTTAGCAAGACGTTCCGTCAGTGAGAGAAGCACACATCAAATGCTTTGGCGAAGAACAAGACCTAAATGACAGTTTTCATCTTCGAAAATCTCAAGGCATGACAACAAAAAATTTGCATGCAATACTATTGTTTTCCCAAAAAAAAGCGCAAAATCGGTATTCGCAAGAACTGCGTATGTTCTTTAAGACCGGAATATTTCCTCTGGTAATAAAGGAAACATCAAAGTGCTCTATGAGCAAACTCGTGAATTGACACATGACACATGATTTTTTGGATTATGTTTAATGTTATCTGGTTTAGGGAATTTTGTGGTTGATTGTCATATCTAGAGTACGAGCAGTAGTTCAGTGCTCGCTAATGTAGCAAAGAAACAAAGTAACTTTGGGATAAGAAGGCATTACAATTGAAATGGTCATGCTATTACATTTCACAAGGGCGGATGATGTCGTGTTTTAAACGTATATCATTTTTGTTTCTGGTTCAAAAGAGAAGGTTGGAAGTAAATGTGGGCGAAAAGTCAAATTGACTGTCTGTCATTGTACATATTAGAAAATAAAGGCAATACTGTCTTATTGAAAACATTAACGATCCCCTCTTCATCAAATGAGACAAACGGGAACGAGTTTTGAGCGATATAACTAAGCCAAGACTGCCACCGTCATTTTGGATCTCCGCCTGGGTAGATTTTAGTCACGTGCTAGGCAACGTATAATCAATAACCAGATAGAATTTCATTTCAGGCCTATTTATCAATTTTATAGTGTATAACTTTCGCATCTTAGTACGTAATATGTATTTTGAATCTTCAAATAGTCTTGAAACTTAAAAGAAAATTGTTCTTTAAAAATTCACTGAAAATCGGTAGCTGAAATTGTTTGTTTAGGCATTATTTGATTATCGTGTTAACTTGTAATTTCGTCAGTCGCCGGCTTTTTTTGTTGCTTCACACAGGAAAAACACACGATACGAAACGTAATGATTGATTTTATCCTCAATCACGCCATAACAGAAGAAGCTTTTGAACATCTGTAAACTCCGAGCG